GCCTCCACGTAAAGCTTCTTGCTTCGTCTTCAGCGACTTTGTCGACATGGTGTGACGGCAGACACGCTGGGGCATTCCACCCGCTGGGTGGCGCTGTCGAGGGCCGTGAATTCGCCGATGCCGACGTTGTGCTGGTCTCTCGCTTGTAACATGAAATCCCCCCCTTTTGAACGTCACCGCCTTCCGTAGCAACCTTCGGTTCGCGGGGTCGAATGGTGACTGGAAACCGAGAGAAATAGCCCTGATATAGTATATATATATATATATATATAATATTAGAGAGAGAGAGAGAGAGAGAGAGAGAAAAATAGATAGATAATAGATAGAATAGATAGATAGATAGATAGATAGATAGATAGTATAGAGAGAGAGAGAGAGATAACGAGATGTTCGCACAGCGCGATATATGTAGCGCGACAACTATATGCAACTGTTACGTACCTATGAGGGTGCCGTTTGTCGTGTAGGATCTGCGGTCAGTTGTCACCGTGTAAGGTGGCTCGCTCGTGTCACCCGAGAATAGATGTCCTGGTGTCATAGTGTCGCATCGGGATGCCGGCGCGCCCGTGTGGTAGGCCGTGGCAAGCGTCGCCAGCAGCACTAAGGTTACTGTGTATCTTGCAAGTCCCATCTCGGATAATGTCGTTCGTCGGCACCGTCTTTATTTTTCTTCTGCTTCTTCTTCTTCTTCTTCCTTTTCTCCTTCTTTCTTAACTTTTCCCAATGGATATGTTTTTAAGCACCTCGTGGATTAGTGTCGTTCGTTAGAGACGCTAAACAAGGCAAACAGTTCCTTCTCCGTCGACTGAATCGTTGGCACTCTGTCCCCACGTTACCTGTGCCGTGTGTATAGGTATACAGGTAGAGATATCATGATAGGCTGACTGGTGATCAGTGATTGACCCATTGCGTGCACGTGCCAAGAACGTGTGATCAAATCAGGTGAGGTTTTTACAAAAATCTAGGTAATGCCGAGCGGCAGAAATCCAGAGCACACACAATTTTCCGTACAAGCGCACACACGCTTCGTTATCTCAGGCAGTTATGTCAATATAATATATATATCGTGAACCTTGTTCCACTGTGATTGCATTTACATAAGAAGTGCGTAGTTGTTTTGATTGAGCGTGTCTCTTGCGGCGTACGCGGATACATCGTGACCTCGTCGTGTCTTTGATGGTGGACCACAGACCCGGTCCGCACTATACTCGTACTTAGACCTATGATTATGAATTATGATAGCCACTATAACGACAGCACGTAAAACCTGATGGATATATGTTATGAACGCTTACGGTTTGAGCGCTCTTGTTGCTATCGAGAGCTAATATAATACATTATTATTAGCTCTGGGTGCTATGCAAAACGCTTCACGTGTCAACAGCGGCGGGGTCGCGGCACACACGCACGCACACACGCACACACGCACACAGCCACGCGGCGGGCTTGCGCGCGCATCACAGCGAGCGAAGGCAGCGAGCGAGCAGCGCGGACGCAGCAGTTAGCACAGCACGAGGCACGCGCGCACACCACGCACACACGCACACACACACGCGGCGGGGGGTGGGCGCACACACGCAACACCGAGGGCGGAGGCGCGGCGGTGCGAGCACACGGATGGGCGCGCAGGCGCAGCAGCGTTGTGTGCGCGGGGCAGGGGGCGCGCACACGAGCACGCGGCGTGGGAGGGGCGGGGCCGCGCACACACACACACACTATACTATATGAGGGGTAGTAGTGTATATAAATATAATATTCATTTTTACAGCCTATAGCTCATACTACACAGCACACTTGTTAGTGTTGGCATAGGAATGAACCAGGGCCGTAGCTACCATTAGGCAATAGGAGGCAAATGCCTCCTACAAAATTTCTCAAAAAAAAAATTACGAGAAACCAAAATTAAATCCCTATTACATGAACTAAGAAACAAAAATATCAAGACAAATTTATCGCGAGAATTAATTTGATGACAATGACAAACAGATACACTGTGAGTAATATATATTCTGATAAGTGATATATGTATATTTTAGCAGCCACATTATTGAACCTGTAGTCCCCCAGCTGAAATGGAAATTTAGATGTAATATATGCAGAGAATGCACCACAGAGCACCATTTAACCGTTGGCTTCTGGGGCCCTTAAGCGGGCCTCATACCTCCCGCCCTATTGGCTCGCTTCGCTCCTTGTTCTTTAACTCACAACATTTGCCTCCTACAAAATTTAGCTCTGGCTACGGCCCTGGAATGAACTATGATACCGAATTTTACTGGTTAACATCAATATTGATAAACGCAGACATGCATATATATATTATAATCGATTAACTTAAAGAAAATCGCTTATCGCCATCTCGGTGTTAGTGTATGAGTGGAGCTAGATACAATAATGTAACCCAAACCCAAGAGGATAGGGACCCTATCCTCTTGGGTTTGGGTTACATTATTGTATCTAGAGTGGAGCATGAGCACTGATCTCTACTACTAACTTATACTACTACTACTAACCTCTCTAACTTATAGTAGAGATCAGTGAGCATGAGTGGAGCCATAGTGGAGCATAGTGGAGCATGAGTGGAGCATAGTGGAGTCATATCTCTGCTTATATACAACACATATTGTGTTGTATATATCTATGGTGGAGCAAATGAGGTAGGGTGTGGCGATTAACTACGCCTGGTCGTCGCAGCTTGATGACGTATGATTGGCACGTGACGCTGCAAGATAGCAGCAAGAACGAGAGTAGCCATTTTGGACGATTCATGTCAAGCTTTCTTGTGTTGACAAAGAAAAATCGCGACTGGTGCTGGTTTAGCTGTATATTAAATAGTAGTAAGTACCGTAGGTAATTATACAATAATTAGTGACACCGGTTTGTTTAAATATAATGCTTTGTTTTATGGTTGTTCGATATTAACGTTCATGTTTTATTTGGGTCAATTTGCGATACATCCCGTGAGTTCAACACAAACCGCAATCCGCACGTGTTTAGGTTCTGAACTCTAGCTAAAACAGCGCGTGTTTACATGTTATGCTTATCGGCAGAATTACGCCTGACCTTGAAGCAACTGTTACTAGAATTCTTTTTCCTTTTAGATTGCAGAATACGTGCTTCGCGTCCGACACGCTTGCGCACGGAATAACGATGGCAGACGATTTGGATGTGGAGGCCATGTTGGAAGCGCCGTACAAGAAAGAGGTACTGTAGGGTTGCCGGTGACATGTGAAAATCGAGTAGGACTAATGACAGTTAATTAACTCTACACCCGTACATTGTTCGTAACTCACCAATTAGCTTTAAAAACCAGGTTTAGTTACGTCGTGTACGATATAAAATACCATTCGTACCATTGCAACATGTTTATATATATACCTATTTGTTCGTGCACATGTGACGTGTCCTCTTTCCTGTGGAAATTTCCCTCCAATTGGTTGTAAATGTATGGCAGCAGATTGTCAGGCTATGGTAGGTGTCGTTGTGGGGTCATGATCGCGTGAACCTGGTGCATGACGTAAGCGGTTGCTACGGCAACCGTTGACGTGACGTCGGGAGCGAGATTAAACCAACGTGCGTGAGTTTCACGGCATCGTGTCGCGCGCCCACTGCTACGCCGGCGTACGTAATGAATGCACTTGGCAGAGTACCACACGCACGCTAGGGAATTCTCCCACATGGATTATGCTCCGGGGGGAAGGCAGAGAAAGAGATCTGGTGACCGTCAGTCGCATTCATAGAGGGCGCCACTAGCGTGTTCAGACGTTCCGTCACAAGCCGTGTAATACGTCTTGTTTCGATTTTTAAAATAGCAAACGGCGTACGAACGTCTGAACGGGCGGTGTTTATGTACGTCTGGCTGCTGTCTGCCGCTGGCATTGTCAACTCTACTGACGTGATGCACACTGCAATTTGTGTCTGGGTTAGCCGACCCAGCCACCCGAACGTGCTGCTATTTATTAGGTATTAATATTAACCTAACTGTGAGCTGCACACAGGAGTTATAACCCTGTTTATTGTGGCTTAATCTCGCTTGCTGGTGTTAGTTAAGAATTAACACGTATATCGGTCACTGACTGTGATATATTTGATATTGAGAGCGCGTGCACGCTTGTTGCGCATTAAACTAAGAAGCTCGTGTTGTGCGAAGCAGATGGAAGTTGTTGTGTATACATTGCTAGTAGTGTTTAGTTAGTGTTGATATGTGCGCGTGCCATCTCTCTCCGTCTCAAGTAACTGTCCGTCGATGTTAGAAAATCAGAAACTATATGATGCGCATTTTGTTCTTGTAGACCCAATTCAAAGTTGGCCCTATGGTCAAACCCTACTTCCACAATGGTGGCAAACCCTTGTGTACAGGCCAAGTGTAAGTGCATAGTTTTAATAATGGTAACGTTTTACATGTGATCTTGCCATCGTCGTGTTCCTATGAACAGCATGAGTTACGTCTTTACTGTACGTGGACCGCCATAGCGGCATCGCAAATGCCAATCAGAGCTAACGGACCGTCGGAAAAGACCCGCCTGTTGGGTTGTTGATGGGGGTACTCTACCGTTTTAATCGCGACAATTCACGTGTAACGTTTAACTGAGAGCTTGTCTGCGTTTTGCCGCCTCTCGGAGGCTGTTAGAGCGTTCGTAGGTACTCTCTTTCTAGTGTTGTTAGTAGTCACTTCTCGTGCTCGAAACTTTGCGTGCGTGATGTTGTGTGTGTGTCGGTTCGTCTGCAAAGCATCTGAAACTGGATCCGTTCTCCTTCGCCAGGGTCGCGACAGCAGACACTCGGTGACACGGCGTTGGACAGAGCGGGGCGACGGCCGGTGCCATATATGATCCTGTACGATTCGTCGCGTAGCTACAGCCTTCTCGATTCTTGCCACCGCGCGCCTGTGTGTGTGTGTGTGTGTGCGTGTGCGTGTGCGTGTGCGTGTGCGTGTGTGTGCGGTTGATGACTCGTGTGTGTATGGGTATGGGAGTGGGTATGCATGTGTGTGGTCATGGGGCTGTGTGTGTGTTTGCGGTTGATGACTTGTGTGTGTGTATTCGCATGTGAGTGGGTATGCGTGTGTGTGGTCATGTGGCTGTGTGTATGGGTGTGTGTGGTCATGGGGCTGTGTGTGTGCTTGTTTGTGTGTCTATGAACAGGAACAAGATAAGCTGGCTTGTACATGGCTGTTGCTGCATGCGCAGTGTAGGCCATGATTATAGCTGTGCTCACGTAGGCATGGGAATCCTCATTTTAATGGCTACAAACACCACCTCATCTTTCGGGGGGAACTATCCCCCTCGTTAAGTATTTGTACCTATACCAAGCATTTCAGTAAGGGTCACACATGTATGTTCCCTTTTAAGTGTCTTTGAGATTTATAGCCTCGAGTTATCTAAGATTTTTTTATCTAATTGTACACTACAATTGTTTTCCAAGTGGCATCACTCATGCAGCAGTCCAGGTGGCGCTGCAGTTTCCACAGAATCTTGTCCACGGCCAGTGCCAGCGGAAGCGAAGATAGATGCTAGCTAGGGTCGGATGATGTGTGCACAGTCTGCAGTACCTTTAATACATTCTGTTGTGGATGGGTGCGCGTGTGTGTATAGGGTGATGGGGGGATTGTAGGTGTTGTGTGCTGGTCATTGTGCACTTGTGCGTGAGTGCATTGGTGCGTGTGTGCGTGCTGTTAGGAAGGTTATATAAGGTTGTGGGGCAGGAGAAGAGATCCCTGTGTTGTGAGGGAGCGGGTATTGTGTATTTACAGGTTCCGAGGCTTGCCGCGCGTTGGTTGCTGGGTTAGCGTCGTTTAGCACCATCTAGGTTTGTAAGTATCGTGCGCGCGCGCGGGGAGGGGCTGAGTGCGAGATGCCGCTTTTTTGGCACTCGAATCTGTTTCGAGTCTCAAAAATGATGAGGAATTTCTCCCCGTGGGTTCGGCCGACTGTGGAAGGTTAACATAGATAATTCCCGGTCAATGCATTGGCACGGGGATTCGCTGTTGTCCTTTCTCGCTCGCACAACTAAAATCTCGCTCGCATCTTTGCCGCAAACCCGCGCCGCACAGCAAAATGCCAGTGTATGTTGCAGGCGTCCGGCCACGGATCGCGGCGGACAGTGGCGCCACCGATGGCAAGGTGGGTAATCGCTCTGGGGCATACGGAATCGACCGGAAGATGGCAGCACTAACACGAACGTTCGTTTCAGCTGGGCGGGGCCGCAGGGGATCCGTTCTCGCGGAGATACGTTCTAATGCGCTGTTTTCGTTTTTTCTTTTTTCCCTCCCTCCATTCCGCTTTGTTCCCCTTCCCGCCGCCTGCAATGCTCTTGTGTTTTCACCACCACAGGACGACGTCAAGGCACAGAATGGAGAGGCTGAACACAGCGAGATAAAAAAGTAAGTGTTTGCTCGTGCTCACGTTTAAATCCCCCCTCCCAAATACCAACCAGTGCGTGAAAACTAATCGGGGGAAGTCAGAGTCTCAAGTCGTGCTGTAAGGTGTGTTGCAGTACTTAGTGTGGCGGGAGATCGTAGTCAGACCCTGGCAGATATACGGGTGGTGCGGTGCACGCGAAAAATCACGCTGGATCGAGAAATGACGCTCTTTTTAGCTCCGCTGACGAAGTCGGATGCAGCTTGTAGAATCGCATGATTGTTCGTTCGTGCGTGCGTTAACAGTTTGGCACAAATCTTAACCGCTCGACATACGGTCTGGATATTCGGGACTTCGGGGGGGATCGCGAAAAGGACTCGGGATGTCGAATTTGGGGGGTCAAGGGTCAAAGGTCGAGATGTGTCAATGGAGGGGGAATATTTCCCCCGTAACTTAAGGTATAGGAGGAAATACGGAATTGCGGCACAAATCTCAACGGCCCGACCTACGCTCTTAATATTTGGTGTATAGTGTGATGGGGAGGAAACCCATTACCAGTGCGAAATTGGAGGTCACAGGTCAAAGGGCAGTGGGGGAAGGTCGGATATCACACATTTTCTGAGGACATGGTCTAACGGACCGAGGCAAAACTTTTTGTTTTAGTGCTGAGTCCGTTTTTATCACTTTATTGAAAGGACCATGAAATCTACTTTCCGCTGACTTGCGAAGAGTAAGTGT